TTTGTCTTGAAGCTCGGGGCCTGGGAGTTTTCTTTTCTGCAGTGTAAACACAGCTGGGCCGGCTGAGGGCTGTAAACACCCCGAGAAGGATCTCTGGCTCTTGTCCCCCCGCCTCTGGAGCTGCCTCCTGCGCCGTGGAGCGATGCTCTCCACACGGTGATGCTTGGCTCCTCCTCACCCCCAAAACGCTGCAGCTGCTGCTGGAGTGGGGCAAATTCACCCTCTGTGGAAGCCCCCGTCGCCCAAACCGCCTCACACAGGCGGGGTTGAGGGTGTTGTGGGGCGGCATGCTGGGGACAGGGCAGGTTTGGTGGCTGACCCCGAGGTGCCAACTCCTCCTGCATTGTGCTGGCAGCTGCTTTGGACAGAGATCTCCTGCTTGGGTGATGCTCAGCATCCTCCTGGTGATGCTCAGCACTGGGGGAAAGCTGAGTTGGGGTTGGGGTGCAGTCTGGTCATTGTGCTGAGCATGACAGGATGTTTGCCAGTGGTAGGAGGTGATGGGACTGCCCAGACCAACCCCAGATGGGCAGAGGTTGCTGTGAGACCCTGTCCTGGCCTTGTTGTCATTGGGGGCCTCGTAGCTCATGGTTTGGCTCTACCTTTTGGGAGGAGGCCAGAGAACAAAGGTTTCTGATGATCCCATCTGGCCCACCCTGGACCCCGTCACAGCAGGCGAGTGGACCGGGTGGATGTGGTGACTTGGCCGAGCCCATGGGGTCTGTCCCACCTGGAGCTGGGCCCCCAGACACAGAAGCCGGGAGGAAGCAGAAGAAAAAGGGGCCTTACGGGTTGTTCCTCAAGCTCTGCTGTGTTCCCACTTCCTTCGTGTGCCCACATCCTGCAAGACTCCGCGGAAAAAAATTCACTCCTAAAACCCAACAACCCCATTTCTTTCTTCTCTGCTTTTATGTGGGGTGTTTCCATGTGAGTCCTGGTGAGATTTAGGGTGGAAGAGAGGAACCAACCGCGCCTGCCCATCCCTGGGCAGCGTGCGCGAGGAGGCTCCGTGTGGGAAGAATGGGTGGCCGCGGCCCACGTGACGGGAACTCGCCAGGCCATGAATGGGGGAGATGCTCCATTCATAAATGCAGGGTCCTGCTGCAGCCGCGCAGGCGTTGGCGCCGGCTCTGCCGGGAATCCCCAGCCCTGCTGGAGCTGCTCCTCCCTCTGCCAGCAAATCCGCCTTAACTCTTTGCCTCATGCTCGTTTGGGCTCTGCTAATGAAGTTAAGCAAAAGCTCTGCTCGAATTGCTGCCTGGGATGCAGTGGTTCTCCGGCAGAGAAGGCAGCGATGCTCACGGCAGCGCTTGCTGGCACCGAGGCGGGG